GTAAGTCAGCGAGTAGGCTGTGTGTTGAGCTATAAATAACCTATTAAATAGGAAACTCGGATTGCACGCTCGCAGTAGCAAAAAAAAAATAGCGCATTTTTAAATCCCTCCCATTAAAGAATACGACCCTGATGAACAAATAATTTTTTCTATTTTTCTTAGAATAAAGACACATCATAGTATTAGGTTAAAATTGAATTTATACTAATCATAACCATATTAAACATTTACAAAGAAGGTATTAACTAACTACTCGCCAGAAAAAATATATAATAATGTTTCCACATAAGAATCAATCGAGACTGGTTAAAGAATTAAACTTGAAATTTGATTCCATTATTGCTGAATTTAAAAAGGAAAAGGAAGCACTCATTGATAATAATACCAAACTTCATGCTAGGGTTAAAGAGTTAGAGAATAAGTATCTTGATGATCATGATAGAATTTGTCACCTAGAAGACAGTATTGGTGATCTAAAAATTGCCACTGAAGATATAGGTTATCAAAGTGAAGAGAACGATGCTAGAATTGCGAAATTAGAACAGACTCAAAAATCATACAACTAGTTTCTTTAGAATTCTTTGGAGATCGGCGTTATAATTTATAACGCGCACGTGTTTTTTCTATTTTGAATCTAAATTTTTGACGTCTCTTACAATAATATAGAAAAATCCAAATTGGAAATTATGCTTTAATGGGCCACCAAAAGTCCATCGTTATTGACGTCCATAAAGATCACTAAAAATTATGACGAATCCATAAACCAATCGTAGTCCAAACCGGGGCTCAAATATTGACGACGAATTCATAAACCAATCGTAATTCAAATCGGGACCCAAAGCGGGAACTGAAAAAATTGGCAATTCGGCTGGAAAATGTATTGCTTATAGAGATATAAGAAATGTGTATTTTATGAATTAGTTTTTTTGGTCCAAAGTGGGGGATAGAGGTTCTATTTATACATTTTTGTAGTAATTTATTAGACTACTAGTACAATGCAAATTCAAATCAATCGTAACTCAAAAGTACGATGCAAATACGGATTCTTCCATGAACCCAGAATAGGTCATCAGTCAGCCTTGAATAAAAAAAAAACAATCACGAATTCTTCAAGCCTAAAAGTACGACGCAAATGCAAACTCGTCGTACCTCAAAGTATGATGAAAAAACGAACCAATTGTACAGCAAGTAGGTAACAGTCTACCATAAGTAGGTAACAATATACCGTAAGTAGGTAACAATATATATATATTGTTACCTACTGATAGCATATAATCATTAAATAAATTTTTTTGGTAATAATAAGAGGTATTTGTTCACCATATAACATCTCCTTATAATAATAAAAAAAATGATGTAAAAATTCAAAAATCAGGTGAATGAAATTTATTCATAAATTAAATCAATTTGTTGAGATTCTATATAATTTAAAATATCATCAATAATAAATAAATAAGATTAAATATATAACAATAAATTAGATAATTACCATTATTATTACTAATAATTGTAACTTTATTGGAGTTTACAGGTTGAGGAAGATTTGTAAAATTCAATGATCTACTTGTATAAACAGCATCTGGATGAATAGTTGTCATAATTGCTGAATGATTAAAGGGTTTTTTATCTGCTTCTTCAAAGATTTTTTTTATTTCTTCTAATCCATCAAGCTGTTCTTCAGGATAACTAGAAATATTAGATTCAATTGCATCCTTCCAAAAAGTAGTAATTTTTAAAATTTCATCTGCTGTTGGTCTTTTTTCAGGATCAGCATCTGTGCATTTGTGTGCTAACTTAATATAACATTCTGGAGTATTATCTGAAAAACTAGGCCTTAAGCCACCACAGATCTTGAAGGCAAGTTCTTGATCATGTGGTTGGTCTTTGAATGGTTGTTGATATGTTGATGTTTCTGACATTAAAATCCCAAAGCTATAGATGTCAGATTTTTGTGTGTAAGGTTTCTTATTTAAAACCTCTGGTGCAACATATGGCAGAACTCCAAATATATTATCTTTATTTGATGCTACTTGATCAGCTGGGCCTGATAACCCTAAATCTGTAATCATTACCTGCTGGGCTAAATATTGAAAATATAAAATATTGCCACTGTGAAGATCGCAATGCATGAGTCCTTCTTTATGAAAGGTGCTTAAACCTAAGATAATACTATGTAGGATTGTAATTCTTTCATCCCATTCTGTATAATTTGATTTTGATTTTATATAATCTTTAAAACTTCCACTGTCTGTGTATCTCATTACTAAAACATATTCTTTTGTGTTGGGATCTTGTGAAAGACCATAAATGTCAACAATGCCCTTATGATAAGGTCCCATAAATTTAATATGATTTTGAAGCTTTTACAAAATTAATAAAAATTTAATATATTAATATATTATTTAAAAATCAATAAAATTATATCAAATTATTTACCTCCTTTGACAACTCTTCAGGATTTTGAGAGTTTTTAAACTTTTTTAATGCTACACGACCATTTGTACAATAATATCTTTGGCCCCGATAAACATATTTAGGGCCATTTGACCAGCGACCCTTATATACAGTTGCAAAACCACCTTCACCTATTTCTTTTATAACTGTGAGTTGGTTGTAAGTAATCCATTCAAGGTAATAGTAACTGTTAAATCCTTTTGCTTCAAGCTGTGTATTTCTAATTATTTCATCTAATTTTTCATTACCACTGGTAGTCCAACTTTGAGCTAATAATTTGGAATCACATGATTGACACCACTGGTAATTAGTATTATATTTTGCACAAACAGAACAGATTCCATATTTTTCTTTCCTTTCTTTAAACTTTTTAGTAATATCTATTATAAAAAAATTAAAAATAAAATAGCATTTATTTTCAACATAATAAAAATAGGTATTTGTTCCAAGTAAAAATTAAATTATGATATAATATTTTACCTTCTTCAATTGTTAATCATTATAAAGAAATAAAAAATAAATTTGCTTAATTGAATGATATTTTGATAAAAATTATTTGTGTTCTAAAAGTTAATTTATAATGCTTACCAGCTAGTTATTATGAAGAAATAAAAATAATTTTATTAATTAGATGATGTTTTAATTTGTGTTGCAAAAGTTAATTTATAATAATACTTACTAGCTGGTTATTATAAAGAAATAAAAACCAAAATAAAACAAGTTCATTTAATTAGATGTTTATTTTGTTTAAAAGTTTAATTTATAATGTAATACTTTACCCCCTGGTTATTATAAAAAATAAAAATTAAACTTATTTAATTGAATGAAGTTTTAATAAAGTTTATTTTTTTTTTAATTTATGATATAATACTTACCAGCTGGTTATTATGAAGAAATAAAAAATAAATTTATTTAATTAGATGATGTTTATTTTGTATTGAAAGTTAATTTATAATATAATACTTACAACCTGGTTATGATATAGAAATGAAAATAATTTATTTAGTTATATAAAAGTTTATTTTGTGTTGTAGAAATAATAATATAATACTTACAATCTGGTTATTATAAAATAAATTTATTTGATTAGGTGATGCTTTAATAAAGTTTATTTTGTTGTAAAAGTTAATTTATAGTATAATAATACTTACTATCTGATTATAAAGAAATAAAAATAATTTATTTAATAAGATGAAAGTTTATTTTGTGTTGTAAAGGTTAATTATAATATAATACTTACAATCTGGTTATTATAAAGAAACAAAAATATATTTATTAATCAGATAATGTTTATTATAAAAGTTAATTTATAATATTTACCCCCTAATTATAAAAAAAAAAAATAAAAAATAAAATCTTTAATTAGATGAAGTTTATTTTGTATTATAAAAGTTATATAAAGTATAATACTTGCATGCTTTATTATAAAGAAATAAAAAATAAATTTTTTTAATTAGATGATGTTTATTTTTTGTTGTAAAGGTTAATTTGTAATATAATACTTACCAGCTGGTTTATAAAGAAATAAAAAATAAATTTAATTAGATAAAGTTTATTTCATGTTGTAAAAGTTAATTTATAATATAATACTTACTAACTGGTTATTATAAAAAAATAAAAATAAAATTGTTTAATTAGATGATGTTTAATAAAGTTTATTTGGTGTTGTAAAAGTTAATTTATAATATAATACTTACCAGCTAGTTTTATAAAGAAATGAAAAACAAATTTATGATGCTTTAATAAAATTTATTCCGTCTTGTAAAAGTTAATGTATAATATAATACTTACCCCCTGTTATTATAAAGAAATAAAAAAAATAATTTAATTAGATGATGCTTTATTTGTCATGGTGGACATTCAAATGTTACATGCATTTTTCAATAATAATAAACAATTTGAAATTTTTTTTAAAAACTCCAACTATAAAAGTGAGTAATAGGTGTGGTTCTGAAGTGGTTCTTCAATCTCAGAGGTAACAATTATTAGCTGACAAAATTCAAGGTTAGTCAATAATATCATTGGTTACATGATTTAAATGTCCACCACACTTTTTTGTGTTGTATATAATACTTACCAACTGGTTATTATAAAGAAATAAAAAAAAATTTTATTTAATTAGGTGATGTTTTAATAAAGTTTATTTTGTGTTGTAAAAATTAATTTATAATATAATGCTTACCAGCTGATTATTATAAAGAAATAAAAATAAATTTATTTAACTTTAATAAAGTTTGTGTTTAAAAGTTAATTTACAATATGATACTTACCAACTGGTTATTATAAAGAAATAAAATAAATTTATTTAATTAGATTATGCTTTAATAAAGTTTATTTTATGTTATAAAAAATTAATTACAATACAATACTTACGATCTAGTTATTATAAAGAAGTAAAAATAATTATTCAAATTTTAATAAAGTTTGTGTTGTAAAAGTTAATTTATAATATAATACTTACAATCTGGTTATTATTATAAGAAATAAAAATAAAAATATTTAATTAGTAATGTTATTAAAATTGATTTTGTGTTGTAAAAGTTAATTTATAATATAATACTTACGAACTGGTTATTATAAAATAAAAAAAAAATTATTTAATTAGATGATGTTGAAGATAAAATTTATTTTGTGTTGTAAAAGTTAATTTATAATATAATACTTACGATCTGGTTATTATAAATAAATAAAAATATTTAATTAGATGATGTTTTAATAAAGTATGTGTTGTAAAAGTTAATTTATAATTTGGAACATAATATTTACATGCTGGTTATTATAATGAAATAAAAATCAATTTATTTAATTAAATGATGTTTAATAAAAGTTCATTTTGTGTTGTAAAAGTTGATTTATAATATTTATAATATAGTACTTACAAACTGGTTATTATAAAGAAATCAAAATAAAATTATTCAATCAGATGATGTTTTAATAAAGTTTATGATGTAAGAGTAATTTAATAATATAATACTTACGATCTGGTTATTATAAAAAAATAAAAATAAACTTATTTAATTAGATGATGTTTTATTTTGTGTTGTAAAAGTTAATTATAATATAAATACTTACTCTCTGGTTATTATGATGAAATAAAAAATTAATTTATTTAATCAGTAATGTTTGATAAAGTTCATTTTGTGTTGTAAGAGTTAATTTATAATACAATGCTTACTCCCTAGTTATTATAAAGAAATGCAAATAAAAATATTTAATTAGGTGATGTTTTAATAAAGTTTATTTATGTTGTAAAAGTTAATTTATAATATAACACTTACCAACTAATTATTTATAAAGAAATAAAAAATAAAATAATTTATGATTTAATAAAGTTTATTCTGTGTTGTAAAGTTTAATTTATAATATGATACTTACTCCCTGATCATTGTAAAGAAATAAAAAATGATTTTATTTAATTAGATGATGATTTAATAAAAACTATTCAAGTTAATTTATAATATTTACCATGATAAAATTTTGCTAAATATTATTTTATTATAAAGCAAATTATTAAATTAAGATATAAAATTACTTGAAATTTTAAAAAAACTATAAGAAAAAATACCTTCGTTCATTTTTTTTCTTTTTTTTTGTAAGGAAACTTTTTTTGCTCCTACTACTACTACAGTGCAGAGAAATGGTTGATTTGGCCAATATCGTGCGTGATTGGTTAAATTGCTTGTATATACAATTGGCTAAATTTTATGCAGATCTTTGTTATTTATACGTATATACATCTAAACTCGATAAGTCGGACGCAGCAATCAATTGTTTAAAGTACTTTATAATATAAATAAATCTTCGACTTGTCGAGTTTAGATGTGTATAGATCCATGACTTTTGGAATTCACGCGCATGAAATTCAAATTAGCCAATCAGAATTTTGTATCCGAACACCCACCCCAAAATTTAAAGGCAACTCTTTTAAAATTATGCAGAATTCAAATTATTTCATATGGTATATATTTGAATTAAATTCGAGCCAAGTCAAATCAAATTATTTATATGGTTTAAATCGAATCAATGCAATGAATCAACCTGATCGCTCTCCGTATTTGTGAAGCCCTCGAAACATATCAAATGAAAGACATACTCGGGAGCTTTTGTCTTCTCAGCCGAAACGCTTCGGATCTTAGGTTTAGGTTCCACATGAAGCACCAATACAGAAATGGAGCTTTTAAGGAACCCAATTTTTCTATAGTCATTGAGACCTGAGGTAGGAGAAAATAAAATTATTTACTATCCTGATTGCTAAAAATCATTTTCAAAAAACAATATTGAATTTAGGCGCCAGATTCAATGTTAATTATCCTTTCCACGCTATACAAGCATCTATTCACTATCCTTTCTGGATGAGATTTTTCGGAAAAGTGAGCAAACCTCAAATGCGATTTTATAAAATTCAAACTTCCTCGTCCTCCACTCCGAATTTTTTCCATTGCATCGTCTCATTGGAGGACGAAGGTGGTCAAAAGATTCTGCATCAGATATGTATTAGATTAGTTAATAAATTTTAAAATTTTCTTTCCATCTTTATTTATAATTAATACTTTTTTTTACTTGGAACAATAAAAAATGTTTGAAATGCCAAAGAAAGGTTCTGAATCTAAAGAAAGGAGTTGTATATGCCCAACGCAAACTTAGAAAAATATTCATTTGTTGAACTATCAAATATACAAAGCTCTATTCTATGTTTTATTTATTTGGATACTTGGGAATAGGGCTTCTATTTGTAATACAGTTGATCTCTAATTCGAATTAAAAAAATTTATTCGAATTAAAAAATTTATTCGTTATATTCATTTTATTTGGATTATTCGTTTTATTTGTTTTATTCATTTTATCCATTTTATTCAAATTACTAGTTTAAATATAGGTCTTATTTCTCTAACAAGACAATATAAACAATAATTATATTTATAATCTATATTGCTACTGTAATTGCTAGTACTATGACTTAGGAAAATGTCAGCTACTACTATTTATTATTATCGCTATATTCAAGGAAAATTGAGTGGCGTGTGACAAATAATTCTTTCGTACAACATTTTTAATAAGGACGTAAATGAAAAAAAACGAAAATAGCATTATTTAAAGAACAGCTTCATCATCACCAAACTCTAGTGATCGATTTATCGCGATTCATCAATAAAAAATTTCAGTATTTTTTGAAGATCTAAGTGATAAAAATAGAAAACAAATTAAAACTTACAAAACCTGTCTTATGTATGTACTATGTAAAGATCATTCGAAGTACCAATATTGATCAATCAATGTTGCTTCAAACTCGGACACTAAAAATAGTTCAAGCACATCATTAATATTATTATGTATTACTACTGAATTCAAAGTCAAAAACTCGAAAAAACATCAATTTAGCACAACTCATATATATGTAAAGCCAATTTGATTAATAAAACTTTAATTTGTAAGATGAGGCATTTTTTATTTTGAAAGAAAATATACGGAAAAAACAAGTAGTTTAATAACATTTGTAAATTTCCCATGATAATTATTGTTCTTGCATCATTGCAATATACATACAACGATATAATAATTCTATATTCATCCGGGACACACATTTTTACATAATTTGGAACTTTCGATAATCATTACAATTCTTTTATTGCAACATACCTGCAAATTTGGATATTACTATTACATAAAAACTATACATAGAGTTGCAACGTATTCACGATGCAGCTAGACCCGATTTTCTATTTATATTGTCTCATTTTTAAAAACATTATTATTATGATATTTATTAAAATGTAATTATTAGAACAAGACAAACATAAAAAATTGAATTGTTTTATCTATTCATTACATCAATTCATTTACTTCATTTTTGATGGTTTCAAATACCTTTGAACGTTGAGAAACTATATGAGAACGTAAAATATACGGTCGGGCATCTTTAAAAAATGACAAACATAGCTTGCACGTAATTTGGTAATGTCTATCACCAAGACGGTTATCACGTGTAAAATATTATTATATTTTGGACCAAGTTTATTTTTATTATCAGTAGCAAAATTCATCTTTAATTATTATAAGAAAAAAATGAAAAAGAAATGGTTTTTAAAATGCATAAAACATACTCGTGGGAAAAAAAAAGATTGATATAACTAGAAAAGTAAGGATCGTGATCTACTTTTTATTTGAATGTAACAATCACATAAATATTTTTAACAAATATTACAACATTGCAACACAACATTACAACACAACCGTAATTTGTGGTTAGTTGCAACACCGTAATACCGTAATTTACATTACAGGTGCCAACTTTAAACGGGAATGATCTGTATTATTCTTCCTAATTGAAAAATGAAAAACTAAAATTGTAGAAATGTCGCCTAATCATTAGTTGGTTGGTTGGCTATTAGCTAACATTGGTTTCCAAAACTATTTTGAAAAGCGAAAGTCAAAAATAAAATCAAAAGTTATATGTCAAAATTAAATCAAAAGTCGATAGTCAAAAATCAAAACTAGTTTCGACTTATGGCGAAACCTTTTGACTTGCGAAGCTCTTTAGTTTTGGAAACCAACATTATTATTAGCGTAATAAATTAGTTGGAACCAGTACTACGCTGCTGCGTTATCCTTTTTCTTTTAGAGAGTTTTTAGAAGCGACATTCTCTTTTAAAAATCTGAGATTTTACACATTGTAAAAGGGTCTGATTCACAATCCATATGATTTTATAGTAACATACATACGCATTGATTATAGGAATTATGATTTCCGAAGCATCAGGAAATTTAGATAAAAAGAAAATTTGGATACTAATTAGTTTGCAAGCATATTAATGACTGAATTTCATGCATCTTGAAAAGAATCATCATCAAAAATAAATATTTCTGAGTTTTGATTCAAACGAAATGCCAATTTGTCTGATTCACATTATTAAAAGCAATAATTATTATTATAATCGGTAATAATATCATCACATGTAAACTAACTGTCAGTGAAGTATTTGTCGACAAAATGAACTGTTGATGAAATGTGTGTTAACGAAATGATTGTTGACGATGTGATTGTTGATGAAGTAAATGCGACCGCTAAATTTAAAGGTAAATTAATAATTTATTTTAATGCTGAAATTTATTATTTTGCCATATCTGATATATATTTTCTAACAATATTTTTTATTATTCAATGATATAGTTATTTAATTATAAGCAATACAAAACAACAGGGTGAGCAGATATATTATCTTGGAAATAATTAGATATTTAAAGTATTATCATTTGGGATTTTATTTTTCTTCACTTCATTATCATGACCGGAAAAATTATTACTTTCTGTTTCGGAAATTTTTCGGTAAATTTCAATTGGCATTTGCATCCTGTATTACTTAGAGATGGGCATTATGCAACTTTTTGAATTAATCATTTTCATATCCATCTAACTCATATAATCAATTGTTGATAATTTTTTTCATGAAGGTAACTTTAAAGCTGTCTAATTGAATAAAAAATGTCACGAATTGGTTTTAATTCAGAAAATGAAAAATGAAGTCCGCAACAAAAAAATAGCAGTTGCAAATAAAATTTCAAATTCTTGTTGCTCTGCAAAAGAAATTCTATCAATAAAATTAATAATTGAGATGTTAACTAAATGAGTTGATTGAGATAAAGAAGTAGAGGAAGAAGAGGAAGTAGAATTCTCAGATTGACTGCGTAATTATATTTTTGAAAATATTCATCAAGTACATGATGTGAAACTTTGGTACATTTCTAAGGTGTTGTGAACAACAATTTGCAGCAGCAAGCAATTTATGTGAACAATAATTACATTGAGCTCTTTCTTGTTTATAAGTGGCCTCATGACCAAGCTTTGTAAAATGAGACCAAATTTTACTAAGCGGAGGCATAAAATAAAATCTAAAATTCGTGTAACATTACATATGTTCATTATTCGTTGGGACATTATGCGCATTTTAAAAAATTCAGTGCGCATTATGCCCATCTCTACTATTACTGCAAAGTTTGAACACAATAGTGGTTATTATTATATCTGTCGGATAGTATCCGTGAATATCCGCGACCATCCAGATATCAACGGATATTCAACGAATATTAATACAGTCAAGTATTTTACCAAATTTGGAAATCGAATCTAGAAAAATTGGAACCCCCTTGTTGATCAATTCATAT